GGGATTTGTCAACGGCGGCGGATGTTCGTTCCGCGCGGTCGTGGTTTTCGCTAAGCGTGCTTCTGACGCCTAGTGCACCCACGGCGACGGCATCAGGGACGACATCGTGAGTGTGCCCGGGATTTCTCAACGGCTGCGGATGTTCGTTTCGCGCGGTCGCGGTTTTCACTAAGCGTGCACTGACGCCTGGTGCACCCGCGGCGACGGCATCAGGAACGACATCGTGAGTGTGCCCGGGATTTCTTAACGGCGGCCGATCTTCTGTTCCGCGCGGTCGTGGTTTTCGCTAAGCGTGGTTCTGACGCCTAGTACACCCACGGCGACGTCATCAGGGACGACATCGTGAGTGTGCCCGGGATCTCTCAACGGCGGCGGATGTTCGTTCCGCGCGGTCGCGGTTTTCGCTAAGCGTGTTACTGACGCCTGGTGCACCCACGGCGACGGCATCAGGGACGACATCGTGAGTGTGCCCGGGATCTCTCAACGGCGGCGGATGTTCGTTCCGCGCGGTCGCAGTTTTCGCTAAGCGTGTTACTGACGCCTAGTGCACCCACGGCGACGGCATCAGGAACGACATCGTGAGTGTGCCCGGGATTTCTCAACGGCGGCGGATGTTCGTTCCGCGCGGTCGCGGTTTTCGCTAAGTGTGCACTGACGCCTGGTGCACCCGTGGCGACGGCATCAGGAACGACATCGTGAGTGTGCCCGGGATTTGTCAACGGCGGCCGATCTTCAGTTCCGCGCGGTCGTGGTTTTCGCTAAGCGTGCACTGACGCCTGGTGCACCCGTGGCGACAGCATCAGGGACGACATCGTGAGTGTGCCCGGAATTTCTCAATGGCGGCGGATGTTCGCTCCGCGCGTTCGTGGTTTTCGCTAAGCGTGCTTCTGACGCCTAGTGCTCCCATGGCGACGGCATCAGGGACGACATCGTGAGTGTGCCCGGGATCTCTCAACGGCGGCGGATGTTCGCTCCGCGCGTTCGTGGTTTTTTGCTAAGCGTGCACTGATGCCTGGTGCTCCCGCGGCGACGGCATCAGAGACGACATCGTGAGTGTGCCCGGGGATTTGTCAAAGGCGGCGGATGTTCGTTCCGCGCGGTCGTCGTTTTCGCTAAGCGTGCTTGTGACGCCTAGCGCACCCACGGCGACGGCATCAGGGACATCGTGAGTGTGCCCGGGATTTCTCAACGGCTGCGGATGTTCGTTCCGCGCGGTCGCGGTTTTCACTAAGCGTGCACTGACGCCTGGTGCACCCGCGGCGACGGCATCAGGAATGACATCGTGAGTGTGCCCGGGATCTCTCAACGGCGGCGGATGTTCGCTCCGCGCGCCCGTGGTTTTTTGCTAAGCGTGCACTGATGCCTGGTGCTCCCGCGGCGACGGCATCAGAGACGACATCGTGAGTGTGCCCGGGGATTTGTCAACGGCGGCGGATGTTCGTTCCGCGCGGTCGTGGTTTTCGCTAAGCGTGCTTCTGACGCCTAGTGCACCCACGGCGACGGCATCAGGGACGACATCGTGAGTGTGCCCGGGATTTCTCAACGGCTGCGGATGTTCGTTTCGCGCGGTCGCGGTTTTCACTAAGCGTGCACTGACGCCTGGTGCACCCGCGGCGACGGCATCAGGAACGACATCGTGAGTGTGCCCGGGATTTCTTAACGGCGGCCGATCTTCTGTTCCGCGCGGTCGTGGTTTTCGCTAAGCGTGGTTCTGACGCCTAGTACACCCACGGCGACGTCATCAGGGACGACATCGTGAGTGTGCCCGGGATCTCTCAACGGCGGCGGATGTTCGTTCCGCGCGGTCGCGGTTTTCGCTAAGCGTCTTACTGACGCCTGGTGCACCCACGGCGACGGCATCAGGGACGACATCGTGAGTGTGCCCGGGATCTCTCAACGGCGGCGGATGTTCGTTCCGCGCGGTCGCAGTTTTCGCTAAGCGTGTTACTGACGCCTAGTGCACCCACGGCGACGGCATCAGGAACGACATCGTGAGTGTGCCCGGGATTTCTCAACGGCGGCGGATGTTCGTTCCGCGCGGTCGCGGTTTTCGCTAAGTGTGCACTGACGCCTGGTGCACCCGTGGCGACGGCATCAGGAACGACATCGTGAGTGTGCCCGGGATTTGTCAACGGCGGCCGATCTTCAGTTCCGCGCGGTCACGGTTTTCGCTAAGCGTGCTACTGACGCCTGGTGCACCCACGGCGACGGCATCAGGGACGACATCGTGAGTGTGCCCGGGATTTCTCAACGGCTACGGATGTTCGTTCCGCGCGGTCCTGGTTTTCGCTAAGCGTGCACTGACGCCTGGTGCACCCGTGGCGACAGCATCAGGGACGACATCGTGAGTGTGCCCGGAAGTTCTCAATGGCGGCGGATGTTCGCTCCGCGCGTTCGTGGTTTTCGCTAAGTGTGCTTCTGACGCCTAGTGCTCCCATGGCGACGGCATCAGGGACGACATCGTGAGTGTGCCCGGGATCTCTCAACGGCGGCGGATGTTCGCTCCGCGCGTTCGTGGTTTTTTGCTAAGCGTGCACTGATGCCTGGTGCTCCCGCGGCGACGGCATCAGAGACGACATCGTGAGTGTGCCCGGGGATTTGTCAACGGCGGCGGATGTTCGTTCCGCGCGGTCGTCGTTTTCGCTAAGCGTGCTTGTGACGCCTAGCGCACCCACGGCGACGGCATCAGGGACGACATCGTGAGTGTGCCCGGGATTTCTCAACGGCTGCGGATGTTCGTTCCGCGCGGTCGCGGTTTTCACTAAGCGTGCACTGACGCCTGGTGCACCCGCGGCGACGGCATCAGGAATGACATCGTGAGTGTGCCCGGGATTTCTTAACGGCGGCCGATCTTCAGTTCCGCGCGGTCGTGGTTTTCGCTAAGCGTGCACTGTAAAAAATGGGCCGTAAAAATTACGGTAAGTTGACTGGCATTCTGGCTGCCAGCAACTTCTCGTAATTTATACGGCAGACCGTAAATTCAAATTTACTGCCTGACCGTCATCTCCCAGTAAATTAAACGGTCACAGTAAAAAAGATACCGTTAATTTTACGGGACGATGCTGAACAGACCGTAAACGAGATTTACTGACTGCCGCTAAGATCACGGCATGGTGGCAGTTTTTTTGCCGGTCAACTGACTGTTAATTTAATGGTCACCGTAAAAATGTTGACCGTTTAATTCACTGCCAGTTGGCCATCGTAAGAAGCAAATTGAAGGTGCAAAATGCTGGCACAATGAAGCGCTAGCACTTCGTACAACACGTCAGAAAGTATGCAAAATTCGACAAAAGTAAGCATTGTCGGATTTTATCATCTTCCCACCGCATTGTACGACATGCTTAGCGTTTCACCGCACATGTTTTGCTGCTTCGATTTACTTCCTACTACTGGTCAACAGACAATGAATCAAACAATGGGTCATGAAGTCTCCTTAGGTTAGCCATTTTGTGCCTGTAATATATGTGGCATGCTGTTTATTGTAATTGTAGTGTGGTCTTCATGTCTGCAATGCAATCGTTGTGTATGTACATGCAAATGCAATTAAGCCAAGACACAGCATAAATTATGTGTAGGATAGAAATAAAAACAGAACATTTATTTACTTGGATGACGAGGACCCAGGTCCATATACCCTCTGATCTGGAAAAGAAAGAAACCAGTTATCAATATAACATATATAAATGTGCCAAAATAGAAGCAATTTAACAGATATGTTGTATAATGTTAGCCACGCTTTATTCACTGTGCAAAGAAACTAATGATGCTGATATTGTTTACAATGTTTGAAAGAAGCTTTATGTGACAACTGAACCCCCCCCCCCCTCTAGCTTAGCTTCTCCTAATCAAGTCAAACATCATTATATCTCAGTAGCTATATATTAGCCATGTAGTACATGTATTCTGGTTTTCTCGAATACCATTTCAGTATCCCAGCACAGCCCCTATATACCTGGGCAAATGAATGAGAGGATATGCACAAAGTTTGGCAGAGAGTGCTGCACAAAAATAGAGCTATTTTATGGGAAAGCCTACTATTCACTTACTAGACATTTTTCAACTTAAGAGCTGAGTGAGTTTGTTTTCAAAATCAGCGGTTGACATTAATTAAGCAGCACACATAGAAATTTACTCCTCCTCTTCATCTAGTTAAGCTGGTTGACTGTTGTTGGCGCTAATGTAGAACTAGTCTTTCCCCACCACCAGAGCTGCAATTCTCTTGCCACCGTGCACTAATGAAAAGGGCATCATTAATCTTTCTCTGACATGTTCACACCATAAGAGATATGAATAGTCGTGGCCGGTTGCATCAGGGCGAGCTGCGAACGTCAGGCGTAGCTGGCAATAGAATCTCTGTGCACTGTGCCTAGTGTCACTTCAGATAAACAAATGGTTAAAGCAGTGTGCTTAGCACTTCCAATTTGAGATGATATCCAAAATAAACATGGACAGCTTGTGATGCAGCTGCCACTTACATGCTTCTCATTTCATCGACCTATATTTGCCATGTATAAGATGCACTATACCTAGTGTGGCATCATTTCTCTTAAAATATATGACTGCATGCTAACCATGTCTCATTTCTAGCATCACATAGACATTTCTTCATGTAATTATAGGCAGCGTAGTAAAGCTATGCTTGAGTTTTAAGTGAGCCTAGGTAAGTTATGTTTCAGCGTCCAGCGTCGGCATGTCGAGAAGACCCCTCGATGTTTTGCGCCACGATCCCTTGTGCATGCAAGGGATCATAGGATTCCCCCCCCACTGCTGCCCTAACTGCCCTTGCCCCCACCTCCCCTCCAATCCTCCACCCCCTGCCCTCCCGCTGTCGTGTCATACATTAAGGCCGAGCATAAGTGTCCCCCCATTTTTTTTTCACACAAGCAGCTGGGTGCTCAATCATTATCATACTCACCAAATTAAGACCCAAGTGCCATTGCTTATGGCTGCTGAAATCTTCCTGGTGCCAAGACCTTGTGTTAAATGAGCCCGAGCCCTATGTTGCATGCCTCGTTCCCACATAGGATGACCGACCTTCAACAGACATATTCAAACAGAACAGAATGAGTAGAAAACCACAGACTGAAAAAATCAAGGAAAGTAACTCCAAGCTAGTGCTGATGCGATGTAAACGGTCAGAGTAATTTCGGAGCACCTTCTGGGCCAGCCAAAAATATATTTTCAAGCAACAAAAGGAAGTTTTGGATTTCGAAAGCACACTTCCTATTCATTCTGTTGTGAATACTACATTAAGATACATCTGTTTGCCTTTAAAAACTAGAAGACAATGCCTGCTTTCCTTTCCCACCCCTGTGTTACCACTAGTGTCAAGTTCAGGGACAAAAATTCTGTAATATAGTTATTCACAACAATTGCATTTAACAAAGATTTTTATGTTTATTCTAACATGTAAATTTAACTAGTAATATATCCGTTCAAGAAATATTACTAGTTGATATGTCCACACTGTTATCAACAATATTAACATCTCCATCATTTAATCCATGCACTAAATAATATACATGTTCAAATTTGTGGGCCATGTTAGTGCGTGAACCTTTTAGGAGACCCTGTACTAGCAAACAACTTGGTTTTTGAAATCTTACACCAACTTAGAATTTTCAGATTATCATTTCTCAACTTCCCTGTCTATTCAAAGACATGTTGACCATATGTTTAAATGACAACTTTCCTTCCCAAGCATGCGCCTCTGCTACAGCGAGACGAGATATGAAGAATCAGTGTGAAACCTGGGGTACCACCTCTTTGTGGTGCACAAGTGTATGGTTAAGAGTGCGCCCAACGGGGGTGGCTAACTAGATTGGACAGACCACACATAATGCCAAAAATTCCCATACTTGAAAGCACAGGATCAATTTTACAAAAGTAAAATTGAATAGTATATTGTCCAGAGCAGCAATAAATTTTGATTATTTGCTCAAGCCCACTCTGATGGTCCAGCCATGAAGCAGGGTCTTATTCACTGCTTTCTATAATAATGGGATGAAGTAACGTGTGGTGAAATGTAGGCATGAGCAGTATTACAACAATGTAAGAAAAAATTTAGGCAAGCTTGATTATGCTCACAAAAGCTATGAAAGGTCAGAATGTGTTGGGCTCACTCAGATGCATGGTGTGTGTGGTTATGTGACCATCTGACTATGACCGATTCACTATTTGCAGTATGGTCAGGTGACCACACACTGGTGATGGTTATGTGATCCCATTATCCCAAAATGGTGACAAGCTGGGTGGGACTCTGCGAACAATGATGCACAAAATCAGCGCAAAAGACAAACACAGAAGGAATGAGACAGGACAGAGCACTACTTACAACTGACATTCTATGAGAGGAAAGAGGAAGACAAAGACAACATTGACGCTAAAATAACAGGAAGAGAAAAAAAATACAATAAAGAAAAAGTAAAATCACAAAAAAATGTAACACAAAAAGATTATAAAAATAATAAGGAAAACTCTTAAGTGATAAACTAATGAAAATACAAATTAAGGAGTCTTTTGCACTAGTTTGGTGTCCTATGTTTATTAACTAGGCCATCAAATTATTTTGGAACAATGGTGACTAGATGCCATGGATCATGGCTAAGTGACCACCATTTATTCGCTATTTGCATCTGTCAGTGTGACATGTCAGTCTGTCCAGAGTGTTAGTCACTGACCTTTGCCATGAAACTCGACTGGCAAAACATTATTTGTTGAAACCTGACATCCCCTTTTCACAGCATTAAAGAATTCATGCAACTTTACCCAAACGTTTCATAGATTATACACTCATTCGCCAGACTCAATGAAGAACCATTATTGTAAACTACTTCATCACATCCCCTCCCAGACGGGAACAGTTGCAAAATCGCCTTCAATATTTCACGAACTAACCTTTCCAGGTACCTGTCTACAGCCAGAAATTTTGATCTAAAATAAGCTGTGTGATATCATTGTTTTGCTATCCAGCAGAGATAATTTGATAAAGGTGCCGACTCACAAGAAGTAATAATCAAACGCCGAATTCAATTTTTTTTTTTGCAAAAAACAAAGTGAAAACATTTTTTTTTGTAAATCTATCACTGGCAGACAAACACACTATAGCAGTGAGTAATGCTTGTAGTTTGCTAAGACAGTGGTCTGTTACAAAACCTTCACATACTCTTCGTTAGTGGCAAATGTATCCCTGCATCTATCTATCTCTGAGAATTATTCTTCCTCTCTAGTGACAGTGGACTCTTACGCTCATTGAATTATTTCACTTTCTTCTGCTTCTCTTCAAAATGAGTCTCATGTTCACTTCCCATTTATTAAGTGAACAGTGTAGTGAATCATACTTACAGCCTCACACATTCCACTCCAGCTCTGCTATTTTCTTGACCAGGTTAAGTACTTTCTTGTTCACTTCTGACTTGGAGCGCTTGGCTCTGGTGCCACGGTCAGGGTTCATGCTCAGGAAACCTCTGCAATAAGCATCAGTGCCATAAAAGAAACATTTCATCCAAGTTGGTAACCTGAAAAGTTAGTCAATTTAGTCATATGTGTCACATATGTATACATGACCGAAGGGGGAGACTAGAAGAAAGTCAAATATTTAGTAAAGAGAATATCAGGAGGGGCCAAACTGCGGCTCGTGAGCGGCATGCATCTCTTCATGCCTCCCTATTGCAGCTCTCCTAACCCGAGTACCCACAAGTTATAACAGGTGGGACCAATCACTAAGCTTGTATACAAAAACGTTACAGTGAGAAACAGGAGCATATCAAAATATGCAATATTGCTGGAGTTGTTTCGTTGTAGATGGGCACGTTAAAATGACATGTATTGGTCAGAAGGGGCAAATCAGTTTGAAAGATAAGCTCTATTTTTTATTTTCTTGTTTATTTCACCTTTACATGCCAGGTTGAGGCAGTGTTAGCTTTGTGCTTAAATGTTTCCCTAAAATTGATTTCTGAGCTTTGTTATTACAATGCAGTCCAGCTGCCTGATGAAACACCAAGACCACTGGCCTATGCATACAAGCAATTGAAGCTGTTTGATTGACTGCGAGAGCAGATAAGGGTTTTTATTCACCTGCCTCTATCTTGCATGTGCAGTGCCTTGCGGCGAAACGCATGCACTCGATCTGTGGACTCTGCTCGGGTGCAATTTCAATAAAAAGTACAGCATTGGTGCAGGATGTGGGAGCTATAGTTGTTTGGAGCTGGAGGAAGCAATTGGGACAGCTTTCCAATCAGCGAGATATGTGCTCTTCTATTTAACAAATGAGAAGGAAGGTACCAACTGTGGCTCCATGTCTTTCATGACAGTAAATGTGCAAGGTGTTTGCTTTATTTCAATAGGAACAATAAGCCTGGAAATGATATAGATAAAAAGTATGGAGTCCTGCTAGGCATCCACATACATATACGAAAATCACAGAACAGGAAATTACCTCTGAAGGAACTCAAGGGTCGATGACAGGCCTTCAGCGTAGCAGATGTTAAAGCAATAGTGACTCGCGAAGAGTGCAGCCCATGCCGTAGGGACGTCTGGTATCTTCTGAACCATGAGCCTGCCATCAATGCTGAGTGCGTACTCGTGGGCAGTCCACAGATCATCCCCTACAAAAGTTTAAAAAATGAGAAAATAGTAAATAGTGTGCTTCTTCCTTGCGGATCCCAAAGGATTCACAACCTCAAAAGTGTCCTGATACAGCAGTAGCTTAAATGTTGGCAGCCCAGTACTAAAGAGAGGATTTGATTTGTAGGCTGAACCGTCTGATATGTCTTGCATGTAGCTCGCATCCCTGTCATCTAAAGACCAGTTAAGAATGCAGTCAGCAAGCGAACCATTCTGCAGTAGGCCTTTTAAGCTTTCCAGTACTGGCACATATTGAAATGAGCGACCTCTCTTGTTTCCATCACGCCCAAGATAAATCTGCACTGGCTGGACATATGAAAACTTTTGTTTAAAGTAGGCTCTTCTTTTGTGCTCACTATTGAACACGGTAGCATTCAGACTGCTGAATACATCGTGGCTGTTTGCATCCGCAACAATTTCTTTAGCATCAGCCGTCCCCAGGCGTTCATCCAATTTGTCATGCAAGGCTTTAAACATGCACTGCTTACTCGAGCCATGCAGGTTTTCGATTTCTTGCCACAAATGCTGAACTGTAGAAGCAGGTAAGCAGTACTTAGATTCTAGCTTTAGGTAAAAGAGAGCCAGATCATACTCGACACACTCTTTTAACTCACTTGGAGATGGTGAAAACTGAGGGGTGCCACCTCGAGAGTTAGCATCCTCCATGCTTGCATCTTTTGGAGAAGCGCTGCTCTGACAACCGGTCGCAACTAACACGTTTGCCTGTTGCCCTGAAGAACTGGTTGCGCCTAAGGCGCTTGCCTGGTGCTCCGAAGAACCGCTCGCTTGTTGGGCTGATTTTACATGTTTTCTTGATAGGTGAGACGCAAACGTAGGTTTCGCAGTAAACGACTTGTCACAGCTAAAATACGGGCAACTGACTGACTGCCCGTTGTCGATGTGCTCGCTAAGATGAGTTACTATCTGAGCCCTACTCGAGCACTCGCGAACGCATCCGTGCACGCCGCAGTTTAAGTTTACGTCACCCGTTAAATCGAGCCTAGGTCCGCTCGCGCGCAGTTTACCTTTATGAAACCGTAATATATGATATCTGAGCTTTACATAAGTAGTGAACTGCAAACAACAAGTTGCGTGTATACATGGAATCTGCCGCGACCCTCGTGGCTGTCATAATGACGCACATATTCGACCAACGTGGTTGACCCCTTTGAACAAACGCGGCAAACAAACATGGTTGTTCAAGCCGTCGCCTCACTAAAGCGAGAAAAGAGCTAAGACCGACAAATCGCGAGAATGCACAGTATTAATCTGAAGCTATCTTTGGCTGGCTTTCAATCGCTTGTGCTCTCTTCCCGAAAAGGAGCGCGAACGACGATCGACAGCCGGCCAGCGATGCACTCCGTCAACGCACGTGCTGCCGGTTTGTCGGTGTCGGCTCTTTCTCGATCTTGCCGGCAACGGGCATTAATTTTCTCAGAATCAGATCGCGCTTGCCACATTCATATTCAAAATGATACTCACGTTATGTTCGTTTACTATCGGGCCCGCCAAACGCCTCGGGTACTGCGCCGTCAGCCGTCTTGGTAGCCACGGTCGTGCTCCCTACCGCAAACTTTCCTCGCTTTGTTTTCTTCCTTCGGGAAACAAAAGATGGCGACCCGACGGGGGGAATGGCGCTAACGGCGCGAAAGCAGACAAGGCGGCGAAGGTGGCGAAGGTGCGAAAGCAAGGCAGCGCGATGGCGAGGGCTGTGGGCGAGGGTCAAGACGCGAGCCGCGAACTGGAGAGCAGCCGGACGACGCAGGCGCAGAAGGCCCCAACACATCACGTGCGTGCCGTGCGTGTGTCTGGAGCGTGGTGCGGAGTGTGTAGCGCGCCTCGCTTGAGGCGTTCCGCTTCTTTCCTTTCGTCGCCGTGCCTTCTCTCGTTCCACTTCTTTCCTCCCGTCGCCGTACCCTATTCACTCGAAAAACATTGTCAACATACCGTATTTTTTTTTACGGTGGGCGCCCCGTGACGTTCACGGTCAGGTGACTGTTTATTTCACGGTCATTTTTTACAGTGTGGTTCTGACGCTTAGTACACCCACGGCGACGTCATCACGGACGACATCGTTAGTGTGCCCGGGATTTCTCAACGGCTGCGGATGTTCATTCCGCGCGGTCGCGGTTTTCGCTAAGCGTGCACTGACGCCTGGTGCACCCGCGGCAACGGCATCAGGAATGACATCGTGAGTGTGCCCGGGATTTCTTAACGGCGGCCGATCTTCAGTTCCGCGCGGTCGTGGTTTTCGCTAAGCGTGGTTCTGACGCTTAGTACACCCACGGCGACGTCATCAGGGACGACATCGTGAGTGTGCCCGGGATTTCTCAACGGCTGCGGATGTTCGTTCCGCGCGGTCGCGGTTTTCGCTAAGCGTGCACTGACGCCTGGTGCACCCGCGGCGACGGCATCAGGAATGACATCGTGAGTGTGCCTGGGATTATTTAACGGCGGCCGATCTTCAGTTCCGCGCGGTCGTGGTTTTCGCTTAGCGTGGTTCTGACGCTTAGTACACCCACGGCGACGTCATCAGGGACGACATCGTGAGTGCGCCCGGGATTTCTCAACGGCGGCGGATGTTCGTTCCGCGCGGTCGCGGTTTTCGCTAAGCGTGGTTCTGACGCCTAGTGCACCCACGGCGACGGCATCAGGGACGACATCGTGAGTGTGCCCGGGATTTCTCAACGGCTGCGGATGTTCGTTCCGCGCGGTCGCGGTTTTCGCTAAGCGTGCACTGACGCCTGGTGCACCCACAGCGACGGCATCAGGGTCGACATCGTGAGTGTGCCCGGGATCTCTCAACGGCGGCGGATGTTCGCTCCGCGCGTTGGTGGTTTTTTGCTAAGCGTGCACTGATGCCTGGTGCTCCCGCGGCGACGGCATCAGAGACGACATCGTGAGTGTGCCCGGGGATTTGTCAACGGCGGCGGATGTTCATTCCGCGCGGTCGTGGTTTTCGCTAAGCGTGCTTCTGACGCCTAGTACACCCACGGTGACGGCATCAGGGATGACGTCGTGTGTGTGCCCGGGATTTCTCAACGACTGCGGATGTTCGTTCCGCGCGGTCGCGGTTTTCGCTAAGCGTGCACTGACGCCTGGTGCACCCGTGGCGACGGCATCAGGAACGACATAGTGAGTGCGCCCGGGATTTCTCAACGGCGGCCGATCTTCAGTTCCGCACGGTCGTGGTTTTCGCTAAGCGTGGTTCTGACGCCTAGTGCACCCACGGCGACGTCATCAGGGACGACATCGTGAGTGTGCCCGGGATTTCTCAACGGCTGCGGATGTTCGTTCCGCGCGGTCGCGGTTTTCGCTAAGCGTGGTTCTGACGCCTAGTGCACCCACGGCGACGGCATCAGGGACGACATCGTGAGTGTGCCCGGGATTTCTCAACGGCTGCGGATGTTCGTTCCACGCGGTCGCGGTTTTCGCTAAGCGTGCACTGACGCCTGGTGCACCCGTGGCGACGGCATCAGGAACGTCATCGTGAGTGTGCCCGGGATTTCTCAACGGCGGCCGATCTTCAGTTCCGCGCGGTCATGGTTTTCGCTAAGCGTGCTTCTGACGCCTAGTGCACCCACGGCGACGGCATCAGGGACGACATCGTGAGTGTGCCCGGAATTTCTCAACGACGACGGATGTTCGTTCCGCGCGGTCGCTGTTTTCGCTAAGCGTGCACTGACGCCTGGTGCACCCGTGGCTACGGCATCAGGGACGACATAGTGAGTGTGCCCGGGATTTCTCAACGGCGGCGGATGTTCGTTCCGCGCGGTCGTGGTTTTCGCTAAGCGTGCACTGACGCCTGGTGCACCCGTGGCGCGGCATCAGGGACGACATCGTGAGTGTGCCCGGGATTTCAAACGGCGGCGGATGTTCGTTCCGCGCGGCCGTGGTTTTCGCTAAGCGTGCTTCTGACGCCTAGTGCACCCACAGCAAAGGCATCAGGGACGACATCGTGAGTGTGCCCGGGATTTCTCAACGGCGGCCGATCTTCAGTTCCGTGCGGTCGTGGTTTTCGCTAAGCGTGCTTCTGACGCCTAGTGCACCCACGGCGACGGCATCAGGGACGACATCGTGAGTGTGCCCGGGATTTCTCAACGGCGGCGGATGTTCGTTCAGCGCGGTCGCGGTTTTCGCTAAGCGTGCACTGACGCCTGGTGCACCCGTGGTGACGGCATCAGAGACGACATAGTGAGTGTGCCCGGGATTTCTCAACGGCGGCGGATGTTCGTTCCGCGCGGTCGTGGTTTTCGCTAAGCGTGCTTCTGACGCCTAGTGCACCCACGGCGACGGCATCAGGGATGACATCGTGAGAGTGCCCGGGATTTCTCAACGGCTGCGGATGTTCGTTCCGCGTGGTCGCGGTTTTCGCTAAGCGTGCTACTGACGCCTAGTGCACCCACGGCGACGGCATCAGGAACGCCATCGTCAGTGTGCCCGGGATTTCTCAACGGCGGCCGATCTTCAGTTCCGCGCGGTCGTGGTTTTCGCTAAGCGTGCTTCTGACGCCTAGTGCACCCACGGCGACGGCATCAGGGATGACATCGTGAGTGTGCCCGGGATTTCTAAACGGCGGCGGATGTTCTTTCCGCGCGGTCGCGGTTTTCGCTAATCGTGCTTCTGACGCCTAGTGCACCCACGGCGACGGCATCAGGAACGTCATCGTGAGTGTGCCCGGGATTTCTCAACGGCGGCCGATCTTCAGTTCCGCGCGGTCGTGGTTTTCGCTAAGCGTGCTTCTGACGCCTAGTGCACCCACGGCGACGGCATCAGGAACGTCATCGTGAGTGTGCCCGGGATTTCTCAACGGCGGCCGATCTTCAGTTCCGCGCGGTCGTGGTTTTCGCTAAGCGTGCTTCTGACGCCCAGTGCACCCACGGCGACGGCATCAGGGACGACATCGTGAGTGTGCCCGGGATTTCTCAACGGCGGCCGATCTTCAGTTCCGCGCGGTCGTGGTTTTCGCTAAGCGTGCTTCTGACGCCTAGTGCACCCACGGCGACGGCATCAGGGACGACATCGTGAGTGTGCCCGGGATTTCTCAACGGCGGCCGATCTTCAGTTCCGCGCGGTCGTGGTTTTCGCTAAGCGTGCTTCTGACGCCTAGTGCACCCACGGCGACGGCATCAGGAACGTCATCGTGAGTGTGCCCGGGATTTCTCAACGGCGGCCGATCTTCAGTTCCGCGCGGTCGTGGTTTTCGCTAAGCGTGCTTCTGACGCCTAGTGCACCCACGGCGACGGCATCAGGAACGTCATCGTGAGTGTGCCCGGGATTTCTCAACGGCGGCCGATCTTCAGTTCCGCGCGGTCGTGGTTTTCGCTAAGCGTGCTTCTGACGCCTAGTGCACCCACGGCGACGGCATCAGGAACGTCATCGTGAGTGTGCTCGGGATTTCTCAACGGCGGCCGATCTTCAGTTCCGCGCGGTCGTGGTTTTCGCTAAGCGTGCTTCTGACGCCTAGTGCACCCACGGCGACGGCATCAGGAACGTCATCGTGAGTGTGCCCGGGATTTCTCAACGGCGGCCGATCTTCAGTTCCGCGCGGTCGTGGTTTTCGCTAAGCGTGCTTCTGACGCCTAGTGCACCCACGGCGACGGCATCAGGGACGACATCGTGAGTGTCCCCGGGATTTCTCAACGGCTGCGGATGTTCGTTCCGCGCGGTCGTGGTTTTCGCTAAGCGTGCTTCTGGCGCCTAGTGCACCCATGGCGACGGCATCAGGAACGTCATCGTGAGTGTGCCCGGGATTTCTCAACGGCGGCCGATCTTCAGTTCCGCACGGTCGTGGTTTTCGCTAAGTGTGCTTCTGACGCCTAGTGCAGCCACGGCGACGGCATCAGGGACGACATCGTGAGTGTGCCCGGGATTTCTCAACGGCTGCGGATGTTCGTTCCGCGCGGTCGCGGTTTTCGCTAAGCGTGCACTGACGCCTGGTGCACCCGCGGCGACGGCATCAGGAATGACATCGTGAGTGTGCCCGGGATTATTTAACGGCGGCCGATCTTCAGTTCCGCGCGGTCGTGGTTTTCGCTTAGCGTGGTTCTGACGCTTAGTACACCCACGGCGACGTCATCAGGGACGACATCGTGAGTGCGCCCGGGATTTCTCAACGGCGGCGGATGTTCGTTCCGCGCGGTCGCGGTTTTCGCTAAGCGTGGTTCTGACGCCTAGTGCACCCACGGCGACGGCATCAGGGACGACATCGTGAGTGTGCCCGGGATTTCTCAACGGCTGCGGATGTTCGTTCCGCGCGGTCGCGGTTTTCGCTAAGCGTGCACTGACGCCTGGTGCACCCACAGCGACGGCATCAGGGTCGACATCGTGAGTGTGCCCGGGATCTCTCAACGGCGGCGGATGTTCGCTCCGCGCGTTGGTGGTTTTTTGCTAAGCGTGCACTGATGCCTGGTGCTCCCGCGGCGACGGCATCAGAGACGACATCGTGAGTGTGCCCGGGGATTTGTCAACGGCGGCGGATGTTCATTCCGCGCGGTCGTGGTTTTCGCTAAGCGTGCTTCTGACGCCTAGTACACCCACGGTGACGGCATCAGGGATGACGTCGTGTGTGTGCCCGGGATTTCTCAACGACTGCGGATGTTCGTTCCGCGCGGTCGCGGTTTTCGCTAAGCGTGCACTGACGCCTGGTGCACCCG